TATGCCATTGGAATTCTCGGATTTCAGGTGCCCCGGAAAATTGCAGGGCGCTTTGTTAATTTTCAACCGAAATTTGCGGTGAGTGTCCCAAAAAATTTCTAACCAGTGACATCCCCACTCAATTTCGGAGCGAATGTCTGGTGTACTTTACTGAAATCTCTCCTTTCCGTGTTGGTTTCCACAGCACATTCTGAATTCCACGAGTAATATTGCCCTCCGAAATTCTAATCTCACAAAATATACACAGTTTCACGTCCTTGAAAAGGTGAACTATAAAATTCGGTATGTAAATTCGGATTCGCGTCTTGCTCAGAAGCCCTCTCGTGTGGCACACATTCGATATTAAGAATTTCTGCATGAAGGGTTTTATTCCCTGTTTTATAGCCACTTAAAACTTTCGAGTATACGATATATTCTTTGATTCTGTTTTATGTGGCACACTGTCGTCGGTTTTACACATAAATATTTGAATACTTCTTCATTTATTTATTCACATGTTCGTTGCATGTCAAATATCTCTCAACATTTGTCCTGAATCCTGCAGTGTTCAGTCCCTGAATTGCGGGCTTTTTATTATTCCCTCTGTCGAAAAAATGGCGTATTGATTCATATATCTGGCGAATGAATTCGTACTTCCTGTATAGCGGAGGAAAAAAAGGATGGGGAAATGTCCGTGAAAATTCAGGGAAATTGGAGGGTACATACCTCACCACGATGGGAGTGTGCGGAGGTCCTAACGAGTTTCCGGGCCAACACTAGTTCTGCACAATCTCGGGGTGAGAGAGACCTGGGGATTGCCTCGGGGGATAGTGTGTGTGATGTCGTTACAGGAAGTGCCAGTGCCTCGGAAATACAGCCCTAGTACCGTTCGGAAACACTGAATTATGACTAATTATAACGCTCGGCGATCACAAGCGACTGAAATTTAACGACCTCTCGCCATCGTTAATTTTTTACGGGATTTTTTATTATTCGGGCTCGTTAATTTTCCCACTGGTTCATGTAATTTTTTCCCACTGGCGTTATATTGCATAATTGTTAATAATAATCAGCAATTATTATGCGTCAGTTACTCAATTTAGTTAATTTCGTCGGAGAAAAGAAGAAATTAATTATGAATATTCGCAGGTGTTTCAAATTGTTTGCGGGTGAAAGCTATTTTACACTGAAATTAATTTCAATGATATTTGAGATTTATTTTTTCGCAAGAAATTATATATCATCATCATGTTGGAATAACGGTAATTATACTTTCGCTGGTGTGGCTTTGGCTGATTGACAAATTTACTCATCCATATGAAATGTCACGCAAATGGTACTATTTCAATACCAATTTCTAATATTTTTTATCGCACATTTCATCATTGAAGATCGATAATCAGGCAGATCGATGGTTTGTACGAGGGGCTGTATCCTGCATTATCATGATTAATACGCTCGGATGATTTGAGTGTGCAACACCGACATTCCCTGATCACAATCACACACGGCGTTACCAAACATGCCATAATTATATAAATTCACAATTCCCACTTTTCAATCCATACATTACACTGTTTTGCGTATAAAAATGTATTTTTTTCTCTAAGAATTTCATAAAATTATTTTTATTGCGATATGAGTGTGAATTTTCTATAAATTTTTCTTAACATGTCTTTTTATATTTATTTATATTTATTTTACATTGCTTCAAGTCAGGAAGATCGTGTGGGGATTGATCCAGACTTTAAAAATCGTTAGATCTCACAACTCCACCCAGAAATCGAACCTGAAACCTATCCGCAGTGAGACCACGGTCTTACCCACTGCCCCAGGCCATCGGGAACTTCAAAATTTTCCCCAAAAAACAATTGTATCTATTTTTTACGAAAATATTCCATATTTTCTTCGTCGTTTATATAATTTATAAAAAATTGTACTCGAATATAAGGAATATTTCTGGGTCACGAAAACATCTTTCGCCAATTCTTTCAGAAATTCATCGGAAGACTTCGAAAATATCTTCAAAGACAAAAACTTTTCTATGCAGTACGTTATACTTCGTGTCAACTTTTGCCAGAGCACCGGGAGGTGCCATATTTCTTTCTATCCGGATTGGCAACGCTACATACAACTGTTTACTAGAATATGCAGTGTAGGCGACAGGTGGGCGCGGTGTGATCGAATAATTATGAGACAGTTATTACGTGGTATGATTATTATTCAGAATCAATCTATTATATCAGAGAAAATCATCGTGTCAATATAAACAAATGCGATGAATATTAATGCGCATGATCCTCACCATTCGCAATAACCCCAGTGCCATCTCTAAATATATCTCTCATTGTATTTTCAGTCAGAAACAATTCTATCATAATTTCAAGAATCACAAATTTTTATACAATTCTATGAAAATACTGTTCAATTACTTCGTAAATTATTTGATTAATAAATTTAACCAGCTTTATGCAATATCCTTTCAAAATTGTTAACAAAATCGACAATTACATCCACTCAAAATTAAATATCAAACATTGAATATTCACTCAGGAACCTCAAACATGATCTCGTCGAAAGCAATTTCTCGAGCAAAAGATTCATCCATTTTCCTCCTGCGACTATATTTGGATAGCTCTCCGGATATCGATCACCCTCGCCGAAGGGCCCATGTTCCAACCACGTGAGAAACCGTGAGAACCGCACCCCGTCGCAAGCTCCTTCCGATGGTTAATAAAATTGTAAAGTTCGCGCTCATAAATTTCACCTCCATACGCAGTTACAACGAAATACTGAGGCACTTCCGGCGATCGTGAATGCGGAAAATCACTGGCCTGACCCTTTTCTGGGAGATTAGTCGATGCAGCAGGTGAATGGACCGAGTGAAAAGTCGAACGACCACGGGAAACTATTGGCGGAACAATTGTTTCCGTGTCACTGAACAGCTGCATCCAGTCTCGACTCGATATTTCATCTGTTTCGATATGTCTAGGTTCTTCTGCCTCTATTTTTAGGGATTTCATATAGCGAGTCAGGTAGAAACTCTGATATGGAGTCTAGTGAAAGTCTATTCATTATATATCGATTATATTCGTCACTGCATGAACAGAATAGGAAAAAAAAATATCTGCGTATTTTTTTAATATTGCAGGACATGCTAATTTAATTTGATACATCTTTGGAAAATTACGCTTGAAATTTCAAGTGAAAAAACTTGAAATTTGTACCAACGAGAAAGTAACATGAAAATTCTGCGGAAGTCATTGCTGAATCGGTTAATTTCCTGAGTATTTCGGTAATTCTCGATTTTCATGGTTCCACTTAACATTGGACATTCATTTACATCTCATTCTTATTTCCCCTGAAAACCGTAATTTTCTTGAATTTTTACGATAAAGAAGAAATTCAGTGGCCGTTTCTAATTGCAATTCAATTGAAACTCACATTACAGAAAATTTAAATTACTTTATGACTTTCAAGAGATTTTCAACCGTATATATTAGATCTTTGAATGCTCATGTCGAATGCGTTTTAATCATTTGCAATATGATCTTGTCAAATAAAGCGATTTGAATTCAGCAGATTTTTTATTTCAACTTCAGTAAATACCGTTCGAATAAGATAAAATTCATGGAACTCCATTGAGTCGTTCTTGAGTTACCGACGATCAAACAGGTTCTATTTTGCCCTGAATGTCTATTGAGATCCAGTCAAAGAGTGCTCACACCATCTTGAGGATGTCATTAGGGGAGAAATAATGGTGAGCCTGTAGCAGGGAAGAAGTCTAAAGCTGACGCTAAGGACTTCAGCAGTTGATGTGCCAATGGAACAAAGCAATTTGAAGAATTGGGGTAAAAAGGGATGTACAAAAAGCGATTGTTTGTCAACAGGATGCCATGAATAATTTAATGATCACGAAAAACGTCTTCGTCTGCAAAGCTTAAACAAAAAAATCGCCAACACATGTATTGTTCTCGTTAGAAAAAAAAAGCAATACATGACACCCTCAAGATAAATGTTGCAATGTAACTTTTTTTTTGGTGGAAATTTCCAGTGTAAAGTTCATGTAGATGTGTTCCACCCTCCGCGGACACGAGATTCAGTTTGAAGTTTAAATTGTCCGGATAGAGTACATAAGATTTGAGTGGGATTGAACTTTATTTTAGTTGAGTCTGCTATTCTCTGCAATCGAGTTTGAACGACACGTGGAAGATTTAGTGACTGTAAGGAGCTCGCAACAACTTTGCTCGTGTTTTTGAGAAAGTGAACTTAAACTTAGACCTTATTGTTGGTGAGATCGATGTTACTGGGTAGTTGGAGACCATTGAGCGTGTGAAAACGGATCGGTATAAATGAAGAGTGTAAGGTTTTCATAAAAAATTTCTAATTATTCATCTAATTGATTGACAAGATCGTGTGAGACAATTTTCCAACTATTCATTTTTTATCAATTTATTATTAATGAATGAATGAATAAACTAATGCCATGTTTGCGAAAACATTCGATTCCCTCAATACCAAAAATTCGCAATATCTGAAGGGGCGATTGAAAAAGTCATCCCCAAGGATATGACCAAGCAGAACCGGGCATGCTCAAATCCCCGGGTTCACAGTATATAATGTTAAGAGGAAAGGGCGGAGTGGGCTCGATGTCCCGTGGGGAGGTGATAGCATCTTGAATCCTGGGTTCCCGCAGCGTCACCTGTCAGCGGGTGGTAGCCGACGTAGGGTTGTTATTTCTAGGTGAAGCTTAAGCCGACTCTGAAGCTTGGCACACGTACGAGAACGTTGAATTAGAGGGAAGGGATATGGCGAGCCTTCGGCCGTCAACGTGAGTCACGCAGGGTTTCCCCACCTCTTTGACCTCGCAAAGCTGCCGATATATTCCAACTGCTCGAGAATTCAAGCTTCTCTTAATTAATCACGAACAAATCCCTATCTCACTCCGATGACAGCTATCCAGACTGTACCATTTAACCCAGCTGATTGATTAATTTTTCATTCATTTGGAATAATTGCAGGCGAAGAAGGTGATGGCACGTACTACGCGCTCAAAACGAAAAATGGCGAATACGAGCGACGCTCAAACGTCTGCGAGCAGTCTACTGGCGAATACAACAGCAGGTCCATTCATCGATGCCAATGTATCGACGAGTTATGCAACTGAAGGATACAGTTTCAATTACACTGAGATTGTCAATAGTCTAGGTGGTGGTTATTCGCTTGATAGTGTTAATTACACAGAGCTGTGGATTGATGTGTGGAATACTACCGAGCGGAGTAATACTACGGCGAGGTTGAATGCAACAATATTGCCGCATGGGGGCTATTGTGATGAATGGGAATCTGCACAGCACAAGCTCTTTCAGGTAAGAAGCCATTGGGATAAATGCTCAATCTAGAACAATACACGTTTCAACATTCACATCCACCAAAACTGATATTAAGCAACCTAAGGTTTTCCTCCATAGAACCTGACATCCTTCCCTTCCATAACTTCCAAAGACAACTATATCAATAAAATGTGAGTAATATAGAGTTGCCGTTACTTCGAGATTGCATGACTCTTGTAATTGATCGGTAATTGATGAAGTTGATTAAATTGGTCAGATGCAATCGACGATGTGAGGCAATAGCCTGTGAGAGATCTAGCACGGATATTGCAAAAATCCTTTCGAACGTCTTCCCTGTCTCCACTCGCTTTAGAATTCATCTCCACTGCTCGAAACTATATCGTCCCCGAAAACCTCAAAATCCAGTTGATCCAGTCCGTTCCGAGGTTTTGCGGTTGAGCCCACAATCAAAGTAGTCTCACGGAGTCGAATTAAACTTACGTCCACTCCTTGCCTCCATGTCGGACTATTGGGTTCACCACATCTCTTAATGCCCATAATCCTGATGAATCGCTTCCCCCGAGTACTTCGGGGAAGCGATTAATCAATCATACGCAAGATGTAGAGTATCATATGACAAATCTGTCTGAAATGTAACTTTCAGGCGGCCAATCTCTTCTTCGCCGCAGCCTTTCTCGTACCGAGATCCTTCAAAGCATCAGTACTGGCATTGCGGACATGCCTGACAGCTGGCTTTATGCTGGCAGCACTATGGGCTGGCATAACAATTTGTGCCCTTGACGCTATGCTCTGGTGTTTAGCACTTGGCCTCTTAAATGGCATACATTCACTTATATTAGCCTGTCGTTTTCTACCACCAGCCCTCAGTCCGGAATTGGCCGAGCTTTATCTCAAACTCTTTAAGCCATATCGCGTGAGCAAGAAACACTTCCAAGAACTTGCCAAAGAAGCGAGAATACTCAAATTGGATCCTGGACAGACTTATGCAACTGAGGGAGTTTCCGCAGCTGACGAGAGGCTATCGATATTACTACGTGGCAAGTGAGTTTTTATTTTTCTTCTTTTGTTAATGAATATTCAATTGGAAATGGGTAGACAAATTTTTATCGTCGTTGGGTACTTTTAGTGGTGTGGAAGAAAGCCAGAGATCGAGTAATTTGCCTTGAGTTCTGCTGTTTCTAAAGATGGGTGATAACACTTGTGAAGTATTTGCTGTTGAGTATTCAGGGACTATTTTCAGGTTGTTGTGATTTTCCGAGGAAATGCAATCACCTTTTATGACCGGGTGAGGAAATGATGGGGGTATTGATAAGGGTTTTTTAAATTAAGATTCTGGGGATTGATTGCAAAAGATTGCATCGAGCCATTTTACATGGAATTCACAGTTTTGTTGTGAAGTCATTAAATGGGGGAATTTGAGCTCATTTTCGTCGAGTTGGTGATTAATATCTTTCAATGCTAGGGAGACAAGAACGTTTTCTCAGAGCATTTACGTATGCCTAATGAACACTCATAAAGAAATTTTACCGTTCTTATCGTAAGAAAATTCTGGACAGCTTTAACTGAGAAGGATTTCAGTGGAATTTTGCTATTAATTAATGGAGACGCTGAATTGAGTAATTTTTAATTGCGGAGATGAGATTGAAGTATTGTTGAATGCCATTGAAAAATAATGTGCTCAAAATTGGTTATCTCAATCAATTCCTCCTCGTTTTTATTGAAGATTGAAAGTAACGTGCGACGGTACACATCTGCACTACATCCGAGCTTATCAGTTCGTTGATTCCCCCGAGTGGGAGGCAACACATGAGAACCTGGACGATGTCTTCCAAGTAACAATACGAGCCGAGGAGACAAGCACTTATATATGCTGGACACGACTGAAACTACTGCGAGTACTGCGCCATCGTCCTTTGTTGAAGGTTGTATTGACCACCTTAATTGGCAAGGACATAACGTCCAAGTTGTACGCACTCAATGAGCAGTTGGCTGGGGTTGCGGCGGCCCATGAAAACGCTGTTTCCAATCCCTATCGGGGAATAGCTAGAAGCGTCAGTGTTGATGCCGTTGATACGGAAACTGCTGGACGAGTTAGATCTCATACGTGGAAAGAAAGGCGATACAGTAATCCACGTAGCTATCTTTGAACAATTCCTTGGATGATTTGAATTATTACACCGAGAGAAACATACACTTTTGCCAAGAATTGATTTGTACTCAATTTCTCAGAAGCTATTGGATTATCTCTTTAAAGGGGAAAAGTTTCTGTTTTTTTTTTAAATGGAAAAATCAATCCTCAATTATCATGAAAAAATGGAATTTTTCAAAATTTTCAAGACGGAGGAGAAATTTTGTGATTGTTTTCAAATTGAATGGGAACTCATATAATAAAAAATTGGGACGATCTTGTGACTATGATTTCAAGAAATGATCACGAAATGATCATGAATACCGATCGCAGTAAATTATATTGCAATTAGCCCTCACAGAGTTCCAAAATCCATTTTATGTTGAAACGGTAAAAATTCCCATGTCATGAATAAACTGATTATTCCCTTTCCGCGGATTCGGTTTCATTGAAATCTAATGGAAATCGCCTGTAGATGACTCAACTTTGTGAATATGTTTTTGAATTAAAAAAAAAATATATCTATATATATATATATATTTTTAATAAATGAGTTCTTTGTAATAAATGAATTCTTGACAAAAATATATTTTTTCTCCGGCCGGAAGACCCTAGATATTCAAACCCATTAAATTCCAGGGAACTCGCCACAGCCTTATGGCCACCAGTACTGGACTCCAGTGGTGGCTAATCATTTTCCGTCGACATCACCATTCGTACCAAACCAAAACCTCGGATACACACTGTTGCCTCAAGGTGTGACATTCTCACCACCTCGTATACCCACTGCCACACATCCACCTTTAACAAGACAACGTAGTGTGGGCGGGGGTTCTGGTGGCGACTACACCCTATTGCCCACTACCCCCAAGCTCGAACGCAAGCGCTCGAAAAAAGGAGCTCGTGAGGTGAGAATTTTCCATTTTCTAACGACCCACTAATCTTTCTATACATTATCCCCTGGCCATTAACCGACCAAGCCTTAGATCTTACCAAGAGATAAATTAAATGAAAAATAGTATGCTCAATACGATCCATTTAACTTTCCGAACCTCCAACCGATGTGAATAACTAAAATAATAATTAACAAATCACAAATATTTAAAAATTCGGATAAACATTTTTAGTTTAATCGGTACAGGATAATGTGTTGATCATATAAAAGAGGTACACAGGGTACATGATATGTGGCGAAAGATAACTGACACAAATTAGTTAGTGAATAAATTAATAAATTGCCCCGACTTTAAATCTGCATCCAATTCGTGAATTAAGATAAGCCCTTTTGGCTTAGCCCCAATTCTCGATGAATATATTCTAGATGAAGAGAGATAACCAAAATTTTAGATGAATCCTTTTAATGGTCCACATGTCGCTCTACAAAAAAGATATTCCTGGAAATCCCTGTATTTCTCTTCTTTTACGATATAGCTATCAAGAACTGATACCGAGCGAAATGCACTTAGCCTAGTTTATCAATTCACTGCAGCAGACATCGCTAATGATGTTATTTTTTGGATTAACTAAATAACTAGACCGGGTGTAATAATAATGAGAAAGAAATCTGCAATATTATAGATATATTCCCTTCCTCTTCTCCAAATTCTTTGAAATAAACGCGCTAGCTATAAGTAGATTAATTATTAATAAAACGGTTTTCTTCCATTTTCTCAGGAGAATCCATAAAATTGAACTGAATGTTAATAATTTTTTTGGAAAAATTACGGCATTTTTATTGAATTTTTGGCTCAGTGTATAGAAGGGCGTGCAATTTGCGCGAATTATTGTATAGAAGAAATAATTCTTTTGGTAATTTTGCTATTTAATGACCCACAGGTGACATTTGAAACACCTGTATGACGTTCGCTCGACGGGGAAGGCCCTGCCAGTGTACCACTTTTATCACTGTCTCCGCAGCGTATCGCCTAGCCCCGTCGGACTCACCATGACACACGGAAGATTCAACTAACGAGGTATGTTCTGTGAGTGTTTTCAAAGTGAAAATGGATCAACTGTGGGTGGCCTAAGAGAGAGAAAAAAAGAGAGAGAGAAAAAAAAATAAACGATTGAATTGAAATAAAAATCTAACGTGTTCTTCCAACACTTTAACGAGTGTCAGTTAACCAAGGACATGCCTCACCTCCTCGGAAATCACTTGTAAATTCACCGAGAGGGAAAATGGAACGGAAAATAACGTATAAAAAGGAAAATAAAACGAGTGCAGGGAAATCCGGATGGGGATTTCCATGCTGGGACAATTGTTCGTTGAATTTTTTATACTCGCGAGTGGGTGACTGCCACAAATGTCCAACGTTTTTGGTCATTATCGATCGTGTGCTGTTGATATTATAGTGAAATGAAAGAGACTGGAGGGAATGGAAGCTTGAGAAAATAAAAAGCGAAAGCGAATGAGACTATTATGAACACCATCCCCCTTGTGTATACCTTTTAAATCGACTGTGATTATAATAACGGATATAAATTGTTAAGGGTATGAAAAGGACAAATTATCAATGAAAAAAATATATTGAAATAGCTTGAACGCAACGTCCCCGGCGCAACGTTTGGGGTGCGGTTTCTCGGGGATTCCCCCTTTCGTCTGTCCACGTGTCACATTTTTATGTCGTCATGACACGCGCATCCCTCTTACCGACGAGCGAAAATAAAACACTAAATGGAGAAATAAAAAATATTCAACTCGTTTCTCGCGGATGAATAAATATTGTTGTTATACTGAAAAAATTGCGTGACAATATATGTTCCTTTGGATTTTTCGGGGAGGTGATGAAATAGTACATGGGGGGTACTTTTGTACTCAAGTGAAAAATAATGAAAAAAATATAAAACGCTTTTGCCTAGATGTTGCTCAAATAAAACGTACAAATTCAGTACGGAATCGAATAACATATCTATATATAGATCGCCTTGGAATTTATTTCCACATTTTATAAACTCCAGGGAATGTCAAGGGATGAAATTCAACGGAGGGAGGGGAAAAAAAAAACAATCATGGAGGGTTCAGGAGTCGGCAATTGCGAGACAATTTTTTATTCGCCCTGTACTCCCACAAGTCCTCGATCAACTATACAAAAAATATCACCTTCTCTGAGGATCCTAGGCTGATGGAAAAAGATATCCTCGAACAAGTTCTACAAAAAAAATTCATTCGACTGTTAAAAAAATCGATTATACTTCAATTTGATTAATTATATTTCTTTGAGACTCAGAATTCATTGACACATCTTATTATTCAGGTACAAAAATTCAATTCAATCAAATTATTCAATTGAAAGTGGTTTTACTCCTGCCATTATCAGACAAATATCTACTTACTCATTATTTTCTGTTCTCTGAGTATCGTACATTGGGACGTTGCGTTCATGCATGAAAAAATAAATGAATAATTATAGTGAATCAGCTACAAGCCCGAGTAATGCAGTGCTATTATGGTAAATACTCATTGTGATAAATTAATAAACGAAATTCAAACAGAATGAAAGGTATATTGACGAGGACGGAGTTAATCCGGTGAACAAGTATCGATGAGTTCCTTTTTCCCGTTATCTGTTGAGCTATTCCTTTGGAGGTCGAACGATTTGATCTGAATGCGATTGAATGAGACGAGTTTATTTGGGATTTATACATAAGTGCTTCGTTATGAAGTAGAACGAGGTAGTTAACTTAAGTTTAATGAAAACGAAATAAGCCTGCGATTTAAGTGCTTCGTGAAAAGGAGGAGAGTAGTTTGTAGGGGTGGATGATAATGAAATCCGAGGATTTCCGATTTATAGTCGGAAATACCTTAGGGGAGAATGCGGGGAATTGGGTATTCGCAATTGAGATCTTCGATTAAATGCTGTTACAAAAAATTACCCCGGAAATATGCGAATTACAGAGAAATTTACCCTGAGGCTCATTTCATTAATTTTTATCCTGACATTGTAGTAAAAATTACAATATCTTTCGCTACACTCACAATTACAATGTCAGAGTGAATTTTCCTGTTAATTTTTTTTCGTGCTCACGACTGAAATCGTTATGTATCATACTTGTTTTTATTTTAAAAATTGACATAAACTGACGCAGAAGTAAATAATGAAAAAATGCAAAAATCGAATGTCAACGCCCATTCCTCGGCAGAAATATGCGACAGGACAATTTATCCCCCAAAAAAGCGAGTAGAGATGATAAATCACGTATGTTTGTATGTTTCTATGTTTTATATAAGTCCCAATGAGTGTCAGAGCGAGAGTGAGAAAGAAAAGATAATGGGGATTGAATAAATAAAAAATAACCTTTTGCAATGAAGCCTGGGAGTTGGATATTTCCTTTGTCAGTCTTGTCTTGTTAAAGATGACAGTTAACGTCGGATTTGACGGGGTGTGTCGTTGTTGGTACGACCTCGGAGGGGTTACAAATTCCCTCGTAACTAAAACACACACATGGTGGGGAAAAAAAATATACAGGCGTTACGTGGCTGGAATAATGGGAGAGAATGAACTGACATTGCTCGTCTACCATGTTGCATTACATAGAGCGTTGAGCACACGTACCTTGCGCCCGAACATTTGCACACGTGACAAATTACATTATTTACGGTACAGTGAGTCGTGGAAACCCTGAGTAAACATCAAAGGAACTCAGGAGGGTAACGAGGCAAGTGCGATATTTTTGATAATTGTGGCTTCATGGGGGAAAAGAGGGCTTCTGAATGGTAACGTCAACCCCATTTTTTTTTTACTCGACAAATTTACATTTTAAACTCTTGTAAATCACGTTTTATCAATGTTTTTACCTCCTCCAATGCTCATTGAGCGTTGAATATCATCCCCTGATCGTGTGGATTCATCTCATCTCGTTGGTGATGTCATTGAATATCCTCGATGCACATGTATGCGACTATTGGCTCGATACCAACACCCTGTTCACGGAAATACTGAATTTATCCGTGAGGGTTCGATTTTAAAAGTTGATTTATTTACGCATCACTGATTCCACCCGGATGCATCAGCCAGTACAATTTTTTCATAGATTTCTGAACATGTCTACTTCATTCCCCTTTTAACATCCTTTATTTTCCGAATGTCTGGCACTCTATTTTTTGGATGAGAAACTTGTGCATCATTTCAGAATAATTCGTCTCCTATTTTCCATTGCAATCATAAATATTCACGGATGGTGAATTAATATATCCATGTATTCTATCCATTTTAGATTGAGAAAAATGAATATATTCATTCATGAATATATTTGTTGCACGGTAAACCCTATTTATTAATTAATGAATTTATGTTGAAGAGAAATTAATGAATACAGGTGAAATTTTTAGAATGAATATGGAAATTCCTCAAGGAAATTCACTGCCTCAAACGTAACGTCAACTAGCCATTTTCCATTTATTATTATACCTTTAATTATCATGACATAAATTACCAGGAGTAGTAATTGGAGCGAAAACATCAGAACCTCTCCCATTGAATAAAATTGACGCAGTAAGAGCCCTGATAGACCACAGAATCCACAAACACGTGACATTTGCGTAACACGTGATGTCTACCAGATACTAAAATCTCTAGAGTAACCTCCCCATATTATGCAACATCGTATCCTAGAAATATGAATTTCCCATTTTCCAAACCAACAACGACAAATCTCATATCTCTGGCAGTATAAAAGCCATTCCCCACTTGACGTGAGTATATTTTTCCCCGTGCTATCTTCCCTTGTGCAATAGAAGGAATGATAAAAAAGGGGAGTGTATGGATGATCGAGTTGACGATTGTTGTGAATAAAGAGAAGCAGACAGTATGTGCGTTGCGAGCAAAACGAAGTAAAACATTCACGCTGTATGTTATTAAGTGATAAACATAGGATAAGTATTTATTACTATTATTATATGTTCGTTGACTATTATGTTAGAAATAAAATGATGGAACGAGAAAGAGCGTTGACGTGAGGCCCTTCTATCAGCCCTTTTGCCTATCTCAACTCCAATTTTCCTCACTTTAATTCATTTTTTCAATCTCAATTTTTCATTATGATATATTTATTGGTATTTTATTGCTGAGCATAACTTGAAATTTCTAGACTGGAATTCAGAAAATTTGATATTATTTTGAAATTCCATTGCACTTGATATTTAAGTATGTTAATTTGTTTGGTTCCACTTATTTATTTCCTATAAGAGACTTATGAATTTTAAACCTGGAGAATTCGGGGGAATTCACTGCCCCGGAAATCCCTTCTCTGTGATTGTCTTTTGGGTGGGTCAATGGTGTTACTTGGTGGTATGTGTTTTGGAGACCGCCATCGACTCGAGTCACGTTCTTCATATCGATGAATGGGAGCAGAGCCAAATTATCATCCCGAGAAATCTTGATCCGGAGCTTTGGGTTGACACCATTTATCCACTAAAAGCAAGGGAGATTCAGATAAGTAGAATTTTTATTCAAAATATTGAAGTCTTAATGAAATTCGAATTACATTTTTTTACATGTTTTTTTTTTTCTGTGGTGGAGAAAATTAATATCATTCCTGAGGCAAATATATGTAGAATATATATATGTATGTAATCGTTATATATATTATAATTATAGAGTATTCATAAAATACTATAAATAATTATGGAATGGTTGCGAAAAAAAATTTCGGCTGAAAACAGAAAAATTACAGAAACAAGGAAAACACTCTTGCAAGCTCTTTTATTTTCAAAAAAAAATTAAAACTCATATGTCGATGAAGATAATGCATTGCAATTCCAGAATTATTTTCCACTCTATTCACGGGTTTGTGTGGTCGGGAAAATACCGGCGACAGAAAAATTCCATTCGAATCGAATATTTATTTTGAATGGAGTGATATGAATATTCATCCCTCTAGGCTTTCATTTTAAGTGGCTGTGACATATTGATTCTTACATTTACATTCCCGTCGTTATTCATTTTTCGCGTGCCGACGAAAATATTTTTCCGTCCAGATTCATTGCGCCCGATTTATTGGTGAACAGGTTTGATTTAATGAACTATTGCTTGGAAGATAGATCAGTGGTTAATTTTATTTTTATTCGCTTTATTCAGATACTCAGCACAATGAGACATCAATATTTTTCAAGTTCCTCTTCGTAATCCACGTGTTCCTGAATATTCACAAATTCTCTATCACTCAATTCCCATCGTTCCACTCCACAAACCTAAAGACTTTCTCTGAATCAAAAAAGGTTAAATCCCCGTTTTTCAATTTCCAACGATGCGTTTCCCAAAAAACTCAATCAATCCTTTATCCCAAAGAGCAATAACAACCAAAACCAATTGTAAACCCATATAAATTATTTTCTAAACAAAAAATTTCAAATTCATTCATTAATGAATAGTTCCTGGAATTCCGAGAAATTTTCGCAAAGAGTAATATTAATAATGAATCCATTCATATTCCTTACCTGTCCCATCACTCCCCGTTCCTTAAAAATCACATCCGATTCATCCTCGTAGTCTTCCTCAGAATCTTCATAATCCCGATGTCGCTTGTCCCATTTTTTCAAATAGCGTTGATGCTTTCCACCCCTGCGATGTTTTGGTAATTCAATTTCTATGGTATAAGGCTCCTCATCAGCGACATGATGTGACGCATACCGACTCGAGTACTGACTAAAGCAAAAATAAAAATCCAAAAAAAGATAAAAAATAAATATCGAGCAGTTTGAAACGTTCGGTAATTGCCAAAGCCGTGTTGCTCACATATGCAATGTTGTATCGAAAACTAGGGCGTGTCGGAGAGCGGACTCTGTGAAAATACCCTCAAAGCCCTTGTGAACTTCATGCCCTATGATTTTCTATGTGCAGCAGTTCAACGGCAAATATCTGTATTCCAAGCCCAGTGAAACCGAAATCCCCATTACCAACGGTATAAACGCGTGAGAGCGCAATTTTCCCCATTCGTCAGCGAAAACTGAGAGGCTAACGAGGAAAACACATTCATTAACGTTTCACGATTAATATTCCCTCTTCACTGTACCACTTTTGTTGATAATAAAAATATTGCTCTGATTTCACTCGCTCTAGAGTGATTTTTTCATTCTGTCAATTCCAGAAACTGTAGAAATATCTCTGATGCTTTATTCACTCATTAACATTTATCCCCTGGAGGTAAAATTTTTTCTCATTTGGTTTTCACTGAATTATTCCAATTAATTACATCATGTTTAAATAATTCATGAACATAATTGTAATTCTTTTATCTTTTTTTCCTATTGAATGCATTCTACAGCTTATATGTCTGTTATTTATTTAGTACATCGTAATTCTTTTGATAATGTGATTATTTATTAAGTAAACTATTTTATTTGAGAATATTTCCTTTTTACTGGAATTTTAAGAACGTCATCGCTAGGAATTTCCATGATGTCGGCTCGGACCTAGACCGATACTACTATCACTGAAACAAGTCACCGGATAATTTGCCCAATTTTTTCCAACACTCACCATTTCGATCGGCGATATTTCCGTGGTCTCTTGAATCGATACCAAGGTAGTCGTGAAAACGGATGCCATCGAGCCTTCGAACTATGAAATTTCCAGGGTCGTACGTATTTCCGCGCTTCCGGTAATTGCACTAGTTCCAAGAGTACCACAATGACCGTGAACAAGAACAAAATCTACGGATAAAAATATTCCATCAATATCATCCCAACTGTTAACGAAAGGTCAGAGGGATCGAACTCATTACTTGAATATTCATTCTCCGAGAAAACGTGAGTGACTTCATTTGAACGATCCATTCCCCACGAGAGAATCACTCATTTCCCGAATCTCCACTAGTCACTGAATCCAGATGGGCACGAACTCCATGAAATCTAGTCCAGGTAGTTGGACTTTATATCGCCCCCACCTGAGAAAAATCCACCAACAATGACCAGTGAAAATTAGAAGAATTTCCTCTTCACCGTCGATGGCCCCAGAATTGCAGAGTCATCTCCATTCCCCGTAAACCGCCTTTCTTCTCCGTTTCTTTAATCGCATATCGTCCAGCGTAATGCCCTATTCTACGATGGAAGCTCCTCATTATTTACCATTTCCAACCTCTCGGAAAAGCTGCCACTCACCGCGATTATTTTCCATTGAATTTAACCCCAGTTACTAGAGATGCCAAGGTTAAACTCTCCGTAAAATTATACCAAGTTTCCGGAGAAAAGTCGATTAGCATCGCCATAAATTCAACTATCACGCGGGACTGCGCTGTAATTTGAATCCTCAAGCGGAAAACTTTCCGGCTAATTCCGTTGGCTTCGATCTTAACCCGTAAATAACGATCATTTAGACTAAAATGTTGGAAAATATTCCCATGAATTCAGAATAATTATTTATTTTTTCATGGAGGGCTTTCACTCTACCCTCGAAGAGTGAAGGAGGTCTCAGAGAAAGCACCGTGACCCTCCAGTTCGTTATGCTCGTCACTTAGCTGCCTACTGTTTTTATAGCGGATGTAACTCAAGCGAGAGTCAAGGTGAGTGTAAAACCTTTTTTAAGGTGAACTTCCACCATCGACTTGGTCTCCACTGATTGGGGGCTATTTTAATTTGAATGATAGATCGCTTGTCGGAATTGCAGGTTTCAGAAGGCTTGCTATACTTGAAGAAAGAACATCTTGAAGGGCGGCCTTGCGATCAACGAGTGTGCTCTATCTTTGGAGTAGCGTAATTGATGATCATTTAGCAAACATTTACCGCTGGTGAAAGATGATTTATGCGCAAGTGAAAGTTTCAATGCAAACGTGCTCCTCATTCCAAAGATCGATGTCGAGGAGTTCTCATTTGAGTGAGTTTTGGAGTTAGTGTACGTAAGATGTATGAGGATGCTGCGAACCCACACAAATCATCAAACGATTCGGATATAGAGTTTATCTCCTAGCCACGTCGATGTGCATTTAATTGTTTTTGTTTAAATAAACTCCTTCAAATCACATAGGTTTTCTAATTCTCCGATCATCAGCTGAATCAATAAATCGGTGGGTTTGAATAAATTCGATATAGCGGTTTGTAAATAGTGGATTTTGGACTTCGTCCAGGTCTTGGAAAATGTGCAACTTCTTTAGTTTTGAGGGTGGACTTTGGATAATGGAAAATGTCATCTTGGCTTTGACTAACTCGGAGTATAAATCGTCAGTGGAGCCTGCTGACAAGACATTCACGAATGCCGGGGATTGATCATGACTAAGACTTGGAATTTTCAGTGGAGCGGAAGTCAGGTCAGTATCAGTCATCTACGTTCACCGTAGTATCTTTTCCTTCCAGCAGTTGTCAGAGACACACACTATCAATCCTGCTGGAATAAGGTCAGCCAAAGATCAAGACCAGCCAACACCGAGGCATGATCCTTGGTCGAAATGGTGGGTACGGGGATAGCTGACGGAATGATCAATGCATCAGGATATGTCAGAGTTCGTAACATTCAAAACTCGGAAAATTCGATTGTCACATGCTATTTATTGACCGTGGACAACTGCTGATATAATCTCTCATTTATTCATTATTCATCGTATAATTTGTGAAATCTAATCTGTGAGGAAGATCTGATAAATAAACTACAAAACATATTGCGGTCAAATAAATCACATCGGAAAGAAGACTAGAATGTGGCACAAAGCGATTTTCCTAAACCTCGCAGGGCATCTACTTTCAGATTAGTCTCAATTTACCTTATTACAACAATATGCAAATAGCGCTTTGTAAAATAATTATAAAAGTTGATCGAGTACTTCTCATCGTTTCGTAGAAAGATTACTCTGGAATGAAGACTGGTATTATAAATTTATGACTAGCAGTTGAAAATTTCTTGGTGATGAGATTCTCACACATCTCCATCAAGCAATTGCACCCCCAATCCCCTTTGCACAAGTATATAAATCATTGTTATCGAGTAGCGATGCCCCTATGAGTCCTCTTTAATTAACTTTTGCCCTTAATCCCATCGAATGTTTACGTCTAAGTTTACTCGCGTGCAGGAACACTTTATGTACTATCCTGATTCAACTCGATACAGTCTGTAGGCTTTATCTCTAGCCACCAGTCATTTGGATAATGGTACTTTTGTAGCTCGATACCCTCACGTGGAACCGGCATTAGACGCCCACCAAATTGTTTTGCTGGTAATGGCGGTATTGCCAATTGTGGCGGGAAGCACTGGAGACTTGGTGATAACTCACAATCCGGAGGGAGAACGCGTCTGGTCCAACCGACTCTTCTCACCATTTGCGTCTACGAAGAACAATTCAATGTAGCTGTTGAAGACAAACGAGCGAGCCACATTAACTTACCACTGTATCCTCCTCGAACACAACAATCTCGAGTTTAGGAGCATCCTCACCGACTTCGTGCTCCTGCACTCTGTATATCCCTGAGGCGTATAAATATGAAGCACTCAAGCCTTCTTCCCTGAAGGCTTTTGTGATAAGTCCGTCATCTCTTAATGTATCCACCATACAGAGTTCGACTTTGCGTGCCCAGGGGAGGGCACGCCCTATGCGCACCTGACCCCACAGTGCTCCAAAGCACAGAAAATGAACGAGTCCGAGCTTTGCCAGTACTAAGTGAGCTCTATTTTTTAATAAAACATACTGAGATAAATATATATAGATATTAAAGGTAATCTCATTCAAATGTTTAATGACAAAGTGTGGAGATATTTTTATCGACTGATAGTAATTGACCGACTGATAATAACTTATCATCAGGCGGTATATTATTAACAGTCGGTAAATTTATCACAACTCGATTGAAGAGATTGCCAAATTTGAATTCACCTGTAACCCAGATCATGAAGTCGCTCTGTAAATTGCTCCGGAACACTACACGGCGGCCGCGGAGGATCCTCATTTAAAAGTCGTAACCAGAACAATACGAGAATGGTGGAGAATGCTACAATTGCACGTAGTGGTGTGACACGAAATCTTCTCGGTGGCCAAGTATTCATGTCGGTAATTGATAAATTGGGAAGACATCTAGTCTTGACGATTCTCCAATAGAATTCTATACCAGAAGAGTGCAGCGACAAATAGAAATGCTGTTAGCTCGCGGAGTGGCGTAAGTCGGAATCTCGTTGGTGGATATGTACTCATGTCGATAATCTGCATTGACAGCGAGAATATCAGTGATGACAGGTGTAATAAATTAAAGCGCGGGGACGTAATCAATTGGCGCATGCTAGTTGTGACAGTCATTCAATCAGTCCACTGGAGTTTACGATATTGGAGATGATTTGAGGGCAGACGAAAAGCGGGGGAAATATCGTCACTTATATAATGTCAAAAGGGCGTATGAGTCGCGGATTGGGAATAATGATCTAGCGGTTAAAAATTACTTACATGAATTATGGAAGTCTGCATGATATGCCAGCCGATGAATATTTAATGGGAAACTCGAAATTACACCACTTTTACCATCCTCGATAACTCTGTTGTGATTCTACAGTGGATGATAGATGCACACCACTTGAAAAAATCTGGCAACGCTGGAAGGCAGATTGATTTTAACACTGCTTTACCGACAGAGTACAGGGGTAATTGGACAGTGGTGCACTCTGAATGGTCGGATGCATATTCCCCCAAGGAATTTCAAGCTATTATGCGCGAACGCCAGGGATGAAGATTTCGGTGATGAAAATAAATACCGAGATGTTGTAGTTTCATTTTTTATGCTAATTCAATGTTCGCATCATCTCGGATGGATTGAGGACTAATTAATGAAAGTTGTATCACTAAATTTAGAATCTACTTCATTCGTCGTGAGTACTAATCTCCCTTCTTATCATCACTTCGCCCAAAATGATGGAAGGGATATCAGGTGGATAAATACAGAGAATTTATAGCCTGAGATAACCACGTGCCTTTTTAACGAATTTACAAGGGACAATAATTTCGGGAACGATAAGCAACTCTTTCTATGTTCCGCGAAATACTATCATTATTTCATCAAATCGAAATCAAATACACGGCGGGAAATTCCAATTTAATACGTGTAGTATAAAAAGATATAAATAGAATGAGGCTCTAATTTTTTTGCAATACAGTATATTTTTTGTACGCTCTAACACTGGCTCTTTTCAGTTGCTCCATCAAACCACATTTGAACATTATTTCATAGATCATACTCATATTACTCTATCTCCACTATATTGTAGGGAAGTTTTGCAATTCCCTTTCAAGAAGAATCAGCCAAATCGACATTTATTGCATCGATTCATTAAATACTGCACTCTCTCTGAAATCCGTGCGTAATGCCCTTTATTCGCATATTCAACAGAAAAAATAATCTTACAAGTCCAATGAATTGATAAGATTTTCAACATTTTTTCAGCATTTTATTATGGACTAAATCGAATGTTTGTATTATAAATTAAAAGAACCTTCCCTTTACTTCGAAATACAATTGACAAAAATTTCTATGATCTTGTGAAGAATTTATGAAAATATGTGAAATGTATACTAAATTATAAATTAATCGAGAAAAATTGATTGGCGATTAGAAAGTTGAGATAGCGAACCAATTTTCACGTAAGCAATCATATGAAATCGACTAGATGAATTTTTTCTCACGTTGTACATGGAGGGCATCTCATCTCCTAGGTCACATGACATGATGTCAAATCTACACTTGCCACTGATCCACGTGCCACCAAAGTTGAACGCTCCCCAACCAGTTTACCAAGTATTCTATTGTATTAACTCCTGACGTCAGATGATTTCTCTCTCACCACCACGTGTTCTCTACAACCCCACACCTTAACAATACCCAACCGGTTCTCACATCTATCCGTAAAAAGTATTACGATAAAAAAAAAAAGCGATTGATCGACAATTACTGGTGGTTCGATTTGGTATTGATACACTAGCTGGTCAAGCGGGTGAAGGAATTTTTCACTGGCACGATAATCGTTTCGTTTGATTTCCTCGGTAGCACGTCTTTAGCGGCTTACGATTGGTAGAAATTAATGGAAATAAAACATGAGATTTTCCACGGTAATGAACCTCTCCCGGGGATAACTCAAACGGTGCTGTATTATACACCATCTTCCGCTCTTTGAATAAAACCCGACGTTGCAGACAGTTAGAAAGCGCGAATTATTTGCGTTAAATAATGTAGCATTTCCACTCGGGTATTATACCACATTGGTATGTCACTCGTGGCTTGATTAATGGCACTATAAAAATTCCAGGTACTCTCCTTTTAAATGCATCCTTTTGACTCAACCGGACCAATAATGTTACGGCGAGTGCGGAGTTAACAACAAGTGGGTCACGCATCGAATGACACCAAATGCCTTTTTTCTTTTGGTTTGTGGGGTTGGTTTGTTGCTCCCAGCCATTCACCGTTTTTTCACCAGTACCTTACACCTGTGATCCTTATGACGCTCATTTCACCCTCACGTCCCTCATGAAAGGTCTCAATAAAATTACTATTCCATTTCTTATTACAATCAATTCAGTACATTAATTTTTATAATCATGAATTTTCTACACATTCAGACACATGAATAGTAATTGAATTCAACTTAAGTATTCAACCTGTTATTTCTCTATCACCATTAATTAAATCTCTAATATCTATTAAACATATAATGAAAGTAAATATCAAATAAATTGCATCCACATCATATTATACAAAAAATGAAATCATTTACGCACATTTTCTCGGTGTACGATAAAAGTTAAATGAAATTCCATAATCACAGAGTCACCTCGAACGGAATATAACTCTCCAATTAATAACCATCCCTTTGCATTCCCAACCTTCACCATGCAAGTTAACCATTTTTCTTCTCATCATTCTTTCCTTCACGGTGAACGAAAATGATGTATACATGATCGACAAGTGGAAAAAGTCGGAGATTGATCGCACAGAGTCCACAGGCTGAACGAGGTTGGATTAGTGGTTTATCTCGTCATCTCGGGAGTCTCCCCAATGCAATGGTGAATAAACGAGCCAGTCGATGGTGATGCCCTGTTCTCATATCGACGAGTGTTGTTTTAACGTTGTGTATATGGGATAGTGAGAAGAGAGGAGTGAGGTGAGGGTGATGGATCCAGTATGAGAAACGCGAGTTGCATTTGGAATTGGTTGGGTTGTTGGGGCGTACGTATAAAAGTGTTTCGTGGATTCCGAGGGGGTAAAAAGTATTGGGCGCGATGGCCGCGCACCAAAAGGCACCACAAAGGATGCCGACCCGCGAACTCAGCACAACAAGCTGAGAGTTATATTCGCATTAAAATATTGATCATTCGGTTTATCATTCAACCCATTTTTCTATCTTTCCATCCTCCGGCTATTCTTCAAAGATATCCACGAAAATGCAATTTTTCTTAATCTTTTCTTTGGGTAACGCCAGTTTGCGTTCTTCCTCCATCCAATCATAAACATAAAACGGGCTCACATTTTCATATTAACTGACAGATTCGCTGAATTGTGTTTTTCCCTTCGAGTTTCTTGTATTAATACAAAATTTTCACATAAATACTGAGAAATTTTATAACGCAATATTGTAAAAACTACTTTCGGTGAGACTGAGTTCCAAAAGGTGCATGATGTGACAATTTCCATAGTATTTACTGTTCGAGTTGTAAATAATTAATGCAGCGGAAAAGAAAGATCACCGAGAAAGAAAGGCGATTCAGTGGTTGTGCACTAGAATTTTTTCATATGCACCTAATTATAGCATAGCAATGAAACCTCATTAGGAGTCATTCATCGCCTTCACCAGTTCATTAGTCACATCGACATGAGCGTTATTTCTGCATCAGATAACCCAACAATAACCCCACAAAAAACGCTGTACGCATTCTTATGAAGCTGCATTGACCAGATGGTTTACGTCGCCGGCAGTGTAACGCCGGCTGTCGCGAAAACGCGTATGACTTGCCGACAGTGCATGATCCTCCCACTCTATCTTATTGAACCCGACACGCACGTGATAGCCTTTTTATTTTTAATTAAAACGTGATAAAGCTGTTGTTACATGGCATCATCAACAAATGACAGGCATCGATGGAGCCGAGAAAAATCCAGTGGATCTTTATTTTTCCCATACTCAACTGCTTGGGGAAATGGTGGCCATTGGACGTCCCTCGGCATCGCTAATGGCGTCGCTAATTATACCGGGGCACGCGATCGCATCGAGGATGGTTGGGTGGAACCGATCTGGCGACGTGGATGCCGAAGATGTCTGAGGATCGAGGTCGGTATTAAACTTCCACGTGATCTGTCGTTATACAGAGCGATTACTTCGTCCGATCACGTTTCGCTTTATGGTGGGAATACATCTATAAGCCCTAGCAATCGTTATAAATATGATTTATCACCTTTCCCAGCATCAGATAAGAAATTTCGAAATTAGAGGATAATTTTAATATGCTGATGTAGGAGAATTCAATTTTATTAACTTCTCTTGAGACCTCCGTCTGACCCTTACAGCACTCAGTCTCAATCTCTCATGTAGTTTTCATTCATTCCCTGATTCAACTGGACGACAATTACATTCTGTGGGAGTTCTAATCGGGAAAGGGGGTGAAATACAGAACGTGGGGTTCGGAGGCCATCAAGAAAGTCCAAAATTCCATCAGAGCAGCCTGAAACCCTTCTTAGAACCTCAACTTGACCGCCAGAGCCTCCCAAAAATCCTGATTCGCTCGTCGACTCTTCTCCTGCCCCTCCGAAGTTCATTTCACCCTCCCAAGCCCTCAATAAACCCCTACGACCTTCATTTAACTCTATACCCTCTTCACCCTGATCTCAATGTCATCCAGATCGTGTCCCACAAGACGACAAATAATCACCCATCAATCAATACTTGACAGACATGCTACACTGCGCACAACCAACAAAAATCCCAACAGAAGGTTAAAAAAATCCATAGAAAAAGCCATTTCCACTGACAGCATGTTGATTTTAATTATTTAAGTCACCTGTCCAAACGGGAAAACAGATATACACCGCCGAGGAGTGAGAAATACTCCGGATAACTCATTCGATGTTTGAGATATGGAAAGCGCTCGAGGCATTTGTCGGCGTCGCAAAAGATGTACAAAGAATTATCGCTCACTTGCAGTGCGCTCTTGCGCATTCTGCGGAGGGTGATGTGGAATGGGGGTGGGGGAGGAGGGGAGGCTGCACTCTTCTGCGTGGCAACGATACGTGAAGGGGGTACGTGCAACAGGAGTAGCTGGATTGGTTGCAAAATCAATATGGCCGGTGTGCATCAATCGAGGATATAATTGACGGGGTAATTGGTGCGCTTTCATACACACCCGAACGAGTCACACGACGCGCATCGACAACGACCCTTTCAAATGCCAAGGGGGAGGGAAAAAGTAGTCAACCCACGAAATAAACGCATATAGGGAAAGCTGGAGTCGTTTGACTCCTTCGGGCGGTTCTGGAAGAATTTTATACGGGTCTATAAGAAAATTGTTGAGTGAAGAAAAGATTATTTATGACCGGTGTC